ATACAAGTGCATGCAATTTGTCATGTATTTTAGTGTAACAAATTCATGGTTTACTGGTTTTTCCTATATTATCAGCACCATCATTGGTATCTAATAATATTTAAATAATATATTTAATTCTAATAATTTAAATGGTTCTTTTCTTTATAACATATTATATAACACGTTTCTAATTCTATTTTAATAATTTTAAATTAAAATATTTATCATATCAAAAATGAAAACAATATAACTAATACAATAGTTGCAGAATATACTAATCATTAATCATTTTTGTTATATCCACGTTTGGTATGTTTTTGTAGAGATAGATTTTTATAAGGAGAGAGTCATAAGGGTAAGGGTCATATTTTATTCATGTAATTAACTTATCACCTCAGTGACTCCAAGACAATTTATGCCTTACGTAGATATTATGCGTATTCAATTTTAATATTATGGTTAGTATGAAATATATGTACAATATTCTGTTTTTATATTTTGTACCTATCTAGTTAATAGTAATCTCTATACTAATAATGTCTTATGCAAAACAAATGTAATTAAATACAATCATAAAACCATTATTATTTTATGATATATTATAAAATAAATCAATAAAAATAACCTAAGACTTGAGTGTAATAATTTAAAACTTAGTGTTAAGTTAACTTTATTATTATATACATTTTTATGATTTACCAATTTTTATTGCAAAATATATTAAGTCACAATTAAACATCGTTCAGTTACTTAGAAGTGTAATAGAATGAACGTATATTATCTTAATTGGCAATGGAGACCAATGTGTCTTAATTATTAGCATTATAAATATTTATAACAATCAAAACTTGTTGTATTATGTTTGAATTTTAATGAAACCGCCAATTCTGGTACAGACGTACTTATTGAAGATCCTTTTTTAGATTGGACAGACAAAGATTAAAATGAACATGAGTGAGGATAATATTAATAAAAAAATATGATTATTTAGAAACGATTCCGAATGAAACTTATATTGTTGGAATTAATCCTTAATCTTGTATAAAAAATTTTATTTGTTTTCTTTCCGAATCACACGCAACGTTGCAAATTTTTGTTCAGCAGGGCCAATAATGTGTTGCTAGTTTTAATTTTAAAATTAATTAACCAATTGTTAAGCATAAAGCTAAGATGTACAATGTACATGTATAATATTACAGTTTTTATGCAAGTTATTAGTAAAATATTAAAATTTAAAAATGATCATTATATCGCAGAAATATCGAAATATCGTAAAACAGCTAACGTATAAAATAAATAATTTAAATAACAACAGGTAAGTTTTCTTTTGCCTTAAAACTGATTAATATAAAACTGGTTTTGCTGTGTCTGTATGTCGAATTTGCCACGTTATACAAATTTTGTTCAATAATTTTTACCTTTATTGGCTATATTACCTTAATATTTATATTTTAATATATAAATAATAATAATAATATTGAATCTGTCGAAAAAAATAAAAATGTTTACAAACAAGTTTTGATCAAGCTAACAATGATAATTTATTGTAAACTATACGTAAATTGTTTAAAAATACACACTCGTGTTGCATCGATGTGGTATAAAAAAATAATTGTTGTGCTCTATCTACAGTTAGGTCTAGTGTCTAGTGCTTTATTCGATAAATACAGATATCTGTACTTATCCAATTTAATAGATTAAACACCTACTATCTATCATGCAATTTGAACTGATAATATGGTTGATATGGAACTAATCAAATGGTTAACAGTACTATGAATTATTTTTTAGTAAATAATTAATGGTATATTTTGTTGGTGACTCATCTGTGTGTGAGAGTGCTTTTATTTCGAGTAAGTAAAAATAATGATACTATTATTAAATTATGACTAAATCAGGTTTAGATTATAGAGTGTTTTAACATAAATATATTGAAGCCTAGATAACGTGCGTAAAAAAATATAATAGAATTATATTTTTTCATGGAGAAAATCAAAATCAAATTAATTATTATTACAAAATTGCGGGACAATGAGTGTTGATAATTTAGATATAAAAAGTTGTAGCTGTAAAACTGCAGGTTGTGTCAGTAAAAAATGTGCTTGCCATGTTTATAATACACAGTAAAACTTCCATGTAACGAGTTTCTTGGGGAACAAAAAATATTCGTAGTGCAGAGGAATTCGTTAAATATTTACATAATTACATATTTCATATTCTATATATTGGAATAAAAATATATTACATAATATCATATTTTACAACATACGTATTATTTACTGATCTTAATTTAAAAGAAATAATCAGTGATTTAATTTTCTTATTATTTTTATGATTGTAATTTTATTGTAAAATATTTCGATTTCATTAAAAGCTTTGTCAACTTTTTCATAAACACATTCGTTCATTAGTTTTCTTTTCTGATAGAGAAGATTTGTTGCACTTGCTATATTATTTTTTCACGATTTTTCAGTATGGTTGTACAATAACTTGACAAAATATTATATTTTACAGTAAAATTTTATTTTTTTCAACATTTTTCTAAGCTTCTTAACAAATTTAGGATTTATCGACAATTGATAAACGTTTTGATATTTTTTTGTGCGTATAAAAAAATAATGAAAAAAAAAAATTGAGCGTACGAATACGTTTATGTAAATATTGAAACTACAGCACGCAGAACTATAGTAAAATTAATCGAATTGCTTACCAACGTTTTTTCTTTATCAAATACAATAAAATTGTAGTTATTTTATACAATATTTATTATTCGATAATGACAAAATTTACATAAACAGGTTTGTTTGTTATCGAATAGTTTATTTGTAATTTAGAAACATCAGATTCGTTTTACCAAGATAAATTTACATATGATTACCAATGAAGGTCATACTTTGTAAAAATAATTTATTAAATGAAAGTCTAACTGCATATATTTCCACTACTATCTTTTTTGTTTCAGGGGGAACGCTAGAAATCATTAATTCATTCACAGACAAACAAGTATTTTGTCTTATAATGAAATAATAAAGATAAACAGACGTAATCTGGAGGAGGCTTGGGTGTGTTTAGCAATTGTTATTTTTAAATCAACCCCATATAGTTATTATTTTATAGTAATAAATTAAGTAATAAAATGAGCTATGTATAGTTCAAAGTTACTATAATATTTTTACGGTTATTAAAAATATGAAGTGGGTGCGAAGTTATTTTTTTGTATAAAACATGGTCATTAAATTAACTAAGAAATTGGCCACTCAGAAAGTGAAGTTGAACATCAAAGTTTATTACATATTTTTTTTACCATTGATCACCAGCCATGGAAGTTAGTATTAAATTTTTGATCGGTAAAAGACAAAAATCTAAGTAAAAACTACAAAATACCTAACAACATTTTCCTACGTAATTGGCTGATTTTGGACATCAATAAATTGTAAGCAGCCACTGACGTAATTTTTTAATTATCATCTTTGGCCCACAGTACATAGATGACATACATATACTACACATGGAAATTCGATGTATTATTTTGAGTAAAGAATTTATTCTATAATTTAAAAAAACATTGTTATTCTAATTTATAATATTATTGTAGTCAAAGATATATGTTGTAAATGTTATAATATTTAAGTTAGGGTACATCATATTATGCTATAGGCAAGCTAACACACATAGTGGTACGAATAGTTGATTATAAATATCATGAGCGGATAAGTTGATTTTCATAACCGTAAAGATGAAATAGTTTAAAAAAAAAATCACTTTTTTGAATCAAATAAACTTATATTTTTAATAGTAATATAAATTAATTCAATGATAACTTTATTTTTATAATATAGCCGATAAAATAATCTTTAATTTAGTATTATAACTTTTGTTTTTTAATTTGTGGATTAATACGTTGTATAGTAATACCAAATTTATAAAAGTTTATGTTTGCATGTATAGATAATTTTTTAGTTGCTAAAGTTAGTATGTAATAATTAATCTCCATTCTACCCATTTTTGATAGAATGAAATATAAAAAGGTAAGTAAGTAGGTACCGCACTTCGACAGGATATCGTTATTTTACGTATTAATATCCAATTTGAGTTTATATGGATGTTACTTGTTTTGTTGATCTGGTAAATTTAAAAACAAAAAAGACGTATATTTATATTTTAAATCTCGTTATTGATTATTCCATGATAAAAAATACTATTTTTATACAAATATTAAAACTATACATAGATACACTACTCAAATAAATATAATTAAAAAAAAAAAATGAATAAGTTATAATAAAATTATACCCAAGGTACAATGATTAACAAAAATTAACATACTTCGTATCAGAGTCTCAGTATTTAAGCAAAAATATAATCACTAAATTCAAACAATTATTTTGATAAAACATTATTATAATAATGAAATATAATAATATATTTAAATAAACATCCAAAAGTTAAATATTTATGTAAATGAAAAAAAAAGTTATCATGTACTAAACTAATGGTTGACATCTTTTCATATTAGCGTTCTCTCGGGGCTTAACAATAGTATAGCTTACAATTAGCTTGTGTTATAGGATATCCAGAGGATTGAAGTACGCTCAAGCAATTTTCGACATACCTAGTTCCATATCACGGTGTAGCAATCAAATTTCGAGTGATTCCGTAGCTTAATCCAATAGCTCTAACTTCGACGGAATTCAAATACTTTATTTTGTTTCCATGTATCTAAATTCTATCAAAGTAAGAGCTGTTGGTTCGGATTTTGATTTTGATTTTTTCTTAACTTCGACCTTTTAGGCCAATTGTTACTTCTACCAACAGCGTCATTCTTCTGAAAAACAGTCACCTTTAATTGTATAGTGGCAATCGTTGTCACCATTAATGCCTACGTTTCAGCCGAAAATAAATCATGCGTACGAATATTAATTTTCTCGTTGATCCGGCAAACAGAAACACTGAGAAAAGATGTTTATTGTATTTCATATTTTGTAATTTAGTAAAATCGATTGTATTTTGATAATAATTATAATTTTAAAATTATAAAAATCGACTGATATTTTTCTAATAGTCGTTTGATGAAAACTATTTTCGAAGTAATTTCAATAGTTTTCTAAAGTTTTCAACAAGCAATAATCGCACCTAGGATGGACCTCATCGGTTACGATATCGCCACTACGCAAAGCTCAATAGTTTTCTATTTTGTATACATTTGAATAGTATTATTACCAGAATTGAATAATTTACTGCAAGGTTTTATAGTTTTACGGGTAGATTTTAAGAATTTTACTTAATCGATTAAAAATTACTCTGATGAGAGCAAGATATGTTTTTTATTCAAAACTCATATTAATTTTTTAAGAAGGATTCCGCTTTTTCGCTACCTACTAAAATGATACAACATCAGTTATTTATATGAGGTTATAATTTAATCTTGTGTCTACTTTTAAACAAAACCTAATACTTCTTATTACTTATTAGTTATTATTAGATACCGGAATTATGCATATGCACTAAAAATGTAGTAAATATTCACAAAATATGGGTCTCAATATGCACCAATATGCAAAAGTAATTTTAAAATGTACTCCTATATAGATCATAAATTTACACTATTAAAAAAAAGTATATTAATTTTGTTGTAATCATATTTTTATTACAATTGAAACAAAATAAAACCAGACAATAGTTAAATTTGTAATGTAGCCAATAAACAAATACTAATTTGTATACAATTTTAAGAAATTAATTTTTTAATAATTTTTTTTTATGAAATAATAGTTATTTAATAATTATTGACAATAAAGCAATATTACTTTTTTTGTGAATAGGTAATAATTAAAAGTTCCTATTTCTAGAATGAAGAGATAAAATGATTTAATTGTTCTCTAAAGTAGTAAAAATATGTATAAAATATGTTTCATCCTTCTAAACAATGATATGCAATTAAACACAAAACACAATTTGGTCAATGGAATCAATATAATTTGAAACGCAGGCATTTAAATTATTAATAAAGTAATATACTCAGTATGAATATTCAAATGCATATACTCAGGTCTCTAATTATTATTAATGTATTTGGTGTGTATTTTAATTCAAACTTTATATTTAAATATAATGTATATTGTTATGTTTAAAGTACATGCGTTGGGTGATTTTAAGACTACATATTTTTTAAATGTATCTAATACCTATAATTGTATATGCAACATGCATAGTAAATACATTTAGATAGTTTAAAATGTCCCATGTTTATTTTCTCAGAATCAATATTAATACTTGACCATTGATTATTATTGATTTAAAATTTGTTAGAACCCTTACTACTACTGATGCTTGTATTTTATACATTTTAATTATAAAAATAATTAATATACAATTAGGATCATGCAAAACACACATGGACTATAAATAAAATAATATAGAAGTCCTAAATTCTATTTCAATTCACAAAACACTAAAGTATAGAACATATAATAAAGTTTTATGGTATCGCCGAGGGCATGGATTTGTAAAAATAAAGGAAATGAAAACAAAAAAAAATTATAAATAAGCCAATGGTTTAATTATGATACATAAGCAACTGTAAATATAAGCAATATTAATTATACTACAAATATTACTTAAGTATTTCTAGTTTCTACATAAACAACCTTTTAAATACCTAGTTACATTCTATAATGGCAAAACTTCAATATTTATATCGTTTAACTTATCCAGTTGATGTAAGTCCGGTTTAGGATGATCAGTTGAAACTGAGAGCGACGGTGACTTACTATTAAAATTAAGTGTATGGTAATGATGTTAAGACTGCCATCGACAATTTAAATGAATAATTGATAAAAATAAATAATATTGTACTTTTTTTCGAAACGTATAAAATACAATTTTAAGGACAATTAATATATAAATGTATAAAATAAGTATATAATTTCCTTAATAAAGCCTTATATAAGTTTCAGTATTTAAATTAATTTACATACTAACTTTGTTTTAATTACAATACATTTATACAATAATAAATAAAACCAAAAATATTTTAAAGAGAATATTTTGGGGGAAAAAAATAACTTAACTTAGTATAATACAAAATATTATAAACACGTTTTTCTATTAAATATAAGTATTTTCTTCGGAGTTAATTAAGTTCACAAAAAATGGATTAATTAAAGATTCCAAATCGAATAATTCAATAAGAGCTGTTAACATAGCTACCGTACCACTTGTAAGTCCAACAACAATAACCATATACATGTATACTTGGGATTTCCACGACAAGCTCCTAAAAAAAAAAAAAAATAAAATAAATAAAATAACGCTAATTGTTAATAATACAAATTGTTTTTATAAAAAAGTTTTTGAATTTCCAAAAACTTCATATTATTTTGTGATTATTCTTAAGATTTTAGTTTTAACAGATACAAATTGAAACTTTATAACAAGATTCTTCATAAGTTATCCTTGAATTTTTTTTATAAATATTTCAAGCACATTGCTTCATTTTATTTATAGACATTGTAAGGTATAAGTTTGACAAATTTGGATATTTTAACAAAAAAAAAAAAAATTTTAATTACTATATATTGTTGTAATGTGTAATATTAATCGTATGATCTTGTAATTATTTGGTCTTATGTCTAAGTATATTTTATTTTCTATAAAATGATACCTTCAAAATATTTAAACTATATTTTAGTTATTTACATTACGAGTCTACCAACTTATTTACACCGTTTAGCTATTTGTCAGTATTAACTTATAATTAGAGTTTGGTATTTCTTGCATTTGCATATTTTTTGTAATACTCGTAGAGTGCTCTAGGCAAGATGGAAATTATTTTTGAGAAATAAATAATTTATATACAAAATTTTATTTTGCATATTTCGTTATATTTAAAAAAAAAAGTTTATTTGAACATTTTGTTGGGCAATATTGTGTTTGTTTAATATTCAAAATAATTTTTTAAAATAGTTTATCTCTACATAAAATGTTAATTATGATTAAAAACTTAGTAAAATCTTGAAAAAATCAGTATGTTTATCATGATTATCTTTTCTACGTTATTACTATTTATCGATTTATTTACATAATTCAGTGTGTTTTTCAAACATGTTATATTATTTCAAGAATTTAAAAACGCTTTAAGTATTAAATTATAATTGTATGAGTATCAATACATAACCTAGTTAGGAAAAGTATATTTTATACAAATTGAGTTATTTTATTCTATAAGCTGTGAAACGAAAGTGGATGTTGATAAATGATTAATTGTTACATAACATTTAACAATAAAAATAAAATTGATCGATAGAGCAGTGTAAAAAAAATTTGATTTAAACGTACACAACAAAAGCATTTAAATCAATGCTGTTAAAAATAAAAATGTATAATGTATATTTATTTTGCAGTTTTTAACTGAATATTTCGGTAACTGTTGGTGCAATGAGTTTAAAACCTTATAACTTATAAGCTAATAAAAATAGTTTAACTTGATATAAATATATAATATTTTGATGACAGAATGTCTCATTCGGAATTATTTTTTGGATGCAATAATTTAGGTTTGAATTAAAATTTAATACATAAATTGTAGTGTCTTACTTATAGTAGAGGTATACTCAAAACCTACTACACGACATAGCGACTTATTATGAAATTTAAAACGATAATCGTCTTAAATAGGTTTCTACTTATGTTGATACTTCAGTTTAAATTTAAAATCGATTAAAAACTATAGACAATAAAATAATAGTATTTTGACAATATAAATTATAATTGTATTGATTTAAAAATACTATAAATATTATACCTGTCGGGCCAAATGGCACATTGCATGGAACATAACCTCAAGTAGAATATTGACGGTAGTACAAACGTAGCAAGTATAACGGTCGAGCATCCCATCAGAGCTACTAAGTTGGTGAAGTTTGGCATGCTCTCACCCAGAGCTATCATGGCAAGTAATAGACCTATACGGACTATGAACCGTGGGAAACCAAATGCTGAAAATTTAATTGATATTTTATGAGTGCAAGTTGTGTTAGTAGGTACCTACAGATTAACTCAAACGTCAATGAAGAAAAATAACTCATCTCGCGAATAAAAAATTGTCGATAAAATAACTATAAGTCGATATAATAAAAAGTAATTTTTAAGTTTAATTTAAACTTATATTTTTTTATGCTAACAGAACTTAACAAAATAAAAAAGGTAGGTAAGTGGGTACCAACCACTTTGCTGTATATTAAGTGTCAAGTAAAAATGTTTTCCGAAAATATTGTATTTATTGTATTATTAGTATTTAAATATTAAAATAATAAATATTTATACCATATTATATCAACTTATATAACAAAAAATTGAATAACAACTCTCTGTACTACCGTAAAACGGTAAAAAAGATTTATAGTACCTATAAATAAATAATATTTTAAAATAAATCAAAAATGTTGTAGAGTATAGTAAAGTTTATTAAGTTTTAAGAATAATGTTTTCAAATTAGGTGTAACAAAATTATTAACATGTCGTTATTTATTGTTTAAATAAGAGATTTTTATCCAAATAAAAACTCAAAATATCTATAAAAAAAATATAATAGTCTTTATACATTTTTTAGATTTTACGGTTTTAGAATTCGTTTTTGAGGAAATTCATTAAAATTCTGACTTTAAATACATATAAAAAAAATTGTGTTTATTTTTTTTTGATATTTGATATAGATATATAAGTATAACTTTTTTGGTATTTTGTATTTAATTTTCAATAATTTTGACCGAGAAAATAATTTTCAATCGACATTTATAAATAAAAAATTGATCATTTTTTATTCTTATAAATAGCTCAAAAAGTTTTTGAAAATTTTATCATATAATAAATATGATTATATAAACATGTGGTGAATATTTTGAGTTTCAAATTTTATCTTATTTTTTTGAAATACAATTAAATATTAAAAATTATTTGAAGAGAAATAATTATTTTACGAGCAATGATCCAATTTCATATCCACGACCACCTTCAATTTTGAAAATCAAATCATTTTTCAACAATTTTTATCGTGTACTCATCCATAAAAATACAACATAATAATAATAAAAAAAAAAAGAAAAAAATTAACTAAAATTAGGAAAACAGTACTTGTGGATTACATTTTTATATCACTTGATAACATAGTGTGATTTTATATCTACTCTACATAAACATAGTTTTCAACTATGTTTTTTCTGTTTTATTGCTTTAAAATTACCCCAAGCAAAAATAATTAAAACCTAGGAAGGGCATGAATATTATAATAACACATATTTAACAGTTTACGAGTAATAACTTATATTTTAACTACTATAACATAGTGCTTACAGTGTGGTGTATTGAAGAACGATTCCACTTGTTCAGACACCGGTTTCACGATAATGACGAATCCCAAAATCAAATGCGCTGCCATCAGAATAATTGCCGCGTACGACAGCCACGAGTCACCGAGAGACATGAGGATGTTTGGATTAATTGTATGACCATACACGATGTACCCTCCAACAACGATCGACCCGAATAAAATGGCCAAAACTGAAACAAAAATGAAAAAAATAAATAAATAAACACATACATACACGATGGTAATTGATTAATCAGTATATTTTTCACAAAAAATAATTATACATATAAAGAGATATGTAAAATAGTTTTACAGAAATTGATATAGACAATATAATATATAAGTAGAGGAAATGTGAAACACGCCTATTTAAAATAACTAATATTGTCGCATATTTTTATTGATCCATAAATTTCCATAAAGTAATTTATAAACTTGCAAATGTATTTAAATGTTTTGACGATATTCCCACATCTTAACTGTTGCTTAACACCGAGAATTGTTGTTAACAAATAATACGATTACATGAGTACATCGTGTATGTTTATAAAATAGTGAATCCTTAGTATTGTTTACGTATATTTTTTTCAACATTATATAGATATGACGTTTTTGCTGCCTCAAAATTGTTAGAGCACTATCAGTTATCGTACCTACATATACTATTTTCTAGTAAACTATCCTGTTATTACGACTTCTAAATAGATATTTAACAATCAACATTGTGTTAAATTTTTTCAAAACAGTTATGTAACCAACAAGACAAAATTATATTAGTAGAACTACTCAACAAAATATAAAGTGCAAATTATAAGCTATATATGACTGACAACAAATCAATTCTCTGTTACGTGCACTTTTACTAAAATTTGTGATTTAATCCAGGAAGAATAAATTATGTTACTTTTATCAAGAATATACATCAATATGTCTTTTCAGAGATATGGTTATGTGGATCACAACTCCAAATCATACTTGGAAAATGGATATTTTGTAAATATTCAATCCTGTTAAAAAAACTAAATATTTACGAATTCATAGGCGTAGTTATGGGGGTCTACCCCTAAGAGGGCTACAGCCCCTCTAAAAAATTTGACCACCCTACGTCTATGTCTACGATCTACCTAACCTACCTATACATGTTTATAAAATTTTATAGCATTATTTTTACACATTATACTTTATGCATAACATTTTGTTAAGCAGCTTGTTTATATAGTTTAATTTTGAAAATTAAAAATTGTCTTAAAATGTCAGAGCACATGGTTAAATACTTGAGGTAGTCTCAAAAACAGAAAAACGTATATGCAGTAGTGATAACTAATAAGTAATAAGTATCATTGCCCGAGCAATACACGCTCACCCATTCATGAGTTACTAGAAATTACTTGAAATTACCCATAACTTATATCACATATTTGTTCAATAGAATAACATTTAATAACCATAAGTACTTACTGATAAATGAGGTTACTACGTTCCTCGAAAACTCATCACGTTTAAACATAGTATGTGATCGTATCACCGGGAATGATGCCGCTCCACCATAAGAGAACAAAATTGATCCAAAGGACAAGAAAAATTGGTTAGCTGAACATGCAATTTTATGTGTTTCAGTCGCCGAACCTTCTTTGATTCGTTCATCCAATAAAATTTGCATTAGGACAAAGTAACAGGACGTCATCGTCGTGAGCAACGCACCAATGGCTACTATACTGTTAGTGACAAAAACAAATCATACAATCAATAGTCTTAATTTATTTGTATTTTAATATTCATTGAACTGTTAATATAATATTTAAAACTTAAGTGACTAATATCACTTGTAGGTACTTAATTAGAGATGAGCTGGGGTTAAGTTAATGACAAAAATATAATTGAGTTTTGTCAACATCGATAACATTAAATTTCAAATTAATAACTCTATAATACAATTTTAGAATTTATTTGAAGAATAATATTAATTAAATTAATTTTAAAAAAAATGATATTTTTTTTTTTTTAATTACCACCAAAGACATACAGCGATTGTGTAAGTTGTCATTGTATGATGCAATAAATTAAAAATATATTATATAGTTTGTAGAGTTGAAATCGCTAAAACGCACATATTTTGATTACTATATATTAACATTAAATCGTAATGCAGTGAAACTTTCATAAAACGAACTTTCTGTAAAACAAAATATTATTAAGACTTATAAGTCATAAACTCATAACCATGTTAGAACCAAATATTTGTAATAAACTATTCAATACATTTATTTGTAGTAATAATTGTTTTTGTTGTTCGTAAGACTTCGTATAATTTGAAAGTTCCACTTTATTATTTTGTTTTATTTTTTACTATTATATAAAAATGTTGGTACTTACCAATAATCCTTTGGCGATTCCAAAAACATAAGTGAACTGAGGGCTACTGAAAATACAAATAACCACGTCGAAAATCCAACTTCCGGATGTGTGCCAGCAAACAACTTCTGTGCAGATTGGGCAATTAGCATTAAATATACTGTTGCGGAGCCAAACAGTGTTAAATGTACACATGCTTTCGTAAAATAACTAAAAACCATATTAATAAGTGAAATATTATACATGTATAGTATTTTCAAGTTTTTAAAAAATATTCATAGTAATAATACTGGCATTTTATTCAATTTATTAGAGTGCAGTTTAACGTTCCAGAATTATGTAAACGATTCTTCAATGAGAGCAACAACTTTTGTACATCCAATATTTCATATAATCCCGGGTAATTTAATATTAAATATAATATTTATAATAATAGCAATATAAAAAAAAAAAAAAATATACTCTCAGTAATATATGTGTAGGCTAACCTTCGCTCAGAATCGCTTTACGTGTATAATTATTTGTCATAATTGAATTCAAATTTTATACATACACTACATAAAGACTTACTCCTTAATGGCGAGATACACTCAACAACTGCTATACAGCAGAGTGGTTACCTACTTTTCCCATTTAATTTTAATTTTATCATGTGTACGAAAGTCATCGCTCATCTGTATACTTCAGTTGAAAAGACGATGACCATATTATTACAATTACAAATTGTGAATAGGTATGTAAATAAATACCTAGTTCGTTTACCGACTGCATGCAACGCAATCGTAGAAAACGGGTCAGGTACAGGATAAACTCGGTATTGGGCGTATCTCTCTTCGAGTATCAGCCAACAGGTCCCGAGACAAGAAGCGCTGTAAGCTGTCGCAATTCCAAATGTGATCAAAAGAATAAATCCCATCCATCCTGAAAACAGTGGTCATAGATTATAATAATCCATCGAGTTATAACAGATATTTACTATTCATGAGTACTATTTAGCTATAATAGGTTGGATGTTAGTTGAGTAGGGGTACTTAGCCTATAAACTATTTATACATGGACATCAAATTACATTATTTGTAAATAAAAAATTCTTCATTTTTTAGAATATTAATACCATAAATTTTAATCAATAACTAAGTAAGTTAATTTGTATTAGAAATAATACTGTAATTTAATTAATATTATTACATTACGTTAAAAATAGAAATTAATTTTATATATTAGAATCGATGTGTAGTTAATTGGCGAATTAATGTACCTTAAACCTTATAGATTTGTGCCATATTATAGGTTTTTGAATAGTTGACTTCTCGATTTATTATCGATGAATATAGTTGTATTTAAAGATCGTAAAAAATAAATGTATTAAGTATTATATTAGTACATAGAAGTTTCGAATTGTACTAACATATTTAAAAAAATATATTTCAAATAATATTGCAAGCACAAAATACAGTATAATGTAATAAAAAAGACATAGTAATATTATATTATATAATATATCGTATAAATATGATCCCCCTTAAGGTAGCAGAAAGCTATTTATAGGACTAACGAAATAATGGTGTATTTTTTTTAGCAAAACTTAAACAAAGCTACGTATAACTTTCAAACTATTTTTCTAAATAATAAAACGAAACATAATTTGATACATCGTAAATGTTTTATCATCAGAGACTTACCTAGGTTAACTACTGCCCATGGAGCGGCGAGCATTCCGATTCCGGCCATCTCACCCGCTATGAATACGACCGCAATACCGGTCCTAAATCCATTAGCAGAGTAATCATCAGTGTATGTAACTATTCCCTGTAAAATTTATAAAATTAAGAATTTCCACTGTAAGGTAATTAAATTGTAGATGTAGTTATATAAGTAATAATTTTGATTAAAGGCGTCATTACAGTTTTTCCCGGGTGTAAAAGCTTTTAGGCAGGTCAATTTTGACATCACAAGGCTGTTTAATATATTATGTATATGTATAAATAAATGTATGCACGTAAATTATACTCTCCTTTCCTTTTATTATTCAAATTATTATTCATATCGAATATTAATTAATTTTCAAGTAATTAGTAACTGAAAGAATTTAAAGTGTATATAGGATGATGTGATGATTGTTATCAATATATCATATCAGCTTGTATGGTACTGTTAATGATTAATAACCTAATATAAAAAAATATATCTAAATATTATATAGTTTATAATTATTCATATTATATATAAGTGCATAATTTATAAGTTAGATTATTATATCTAAGTATTTTTTAATTAATGAAGAGCAAATACATATTAATAATGAATGATTGAATGTTTTAATTAAGGCATGGATAATGTGTCAATAGCCATTATTAACAATAAATTTATTATCATAATAATCATATCTTTTAAAATATATTATAATATAACTGAACAGTTAATATATACTGATATCGTATTTTGTAGTTTTAGTAAATAACAAAAGCACAAAAAATATTAAAAGATTATAAATCGTTTCTATGTGTCATAAGAAGTTAATTTAAAAAAAAAATCAACTAAATATTATTTTATTTTACAAATTGTATCTTATATTGTTGTACCTACGCATAATATTTAATGATTATGGAATTTAGAAAATATAAAATAGACGTGCTTCTTTATTTTTAATCAGCAATTTTTTCCCTATCACAATTTCAAATATTTTAAGCACAGTTGTATTAAAAGCAAAATCAACTTTATTTTTAATGAATTTTGATAAAGCTTTTTTTTGGAAAATGTTGAAAATATCAATTTTGGTTCGTTAGTTTTTTGACTACAGTCCTTTATAGTTTAGTAAGTTCATAATAGTTTTAATTGGAATCAATTTAATTTATAAAAGTTATTTAATTATTTTTTCAATTTTTAACGCAATTTAATTTTGTTTCATACACTTAGATCGACAATCTAATAATAACAAAACATTTATTAAATTTTATAATAAATATGCTCAAAATCGTTGGTTAATATAGATAACTATTTTAATGTTAATAAAAAATCAAAAAGTACTATTGTTGCATAATCATAATTAATTGATTATTTTATATTTTTTCTTTTCTTACAATAGTTTAAATTTGAATTCTAAATGAGGTGCTAAAGTAATAAAAGTATTACTTAAATTGATATCATTATTTACATAAATAGTCAGTATCATTATAGGTAGCAATAATAGGTAACTAACTTTGTTCTTTAATCTAAGTTAATTATAGATTTTTAATGTTATTATAATAATAATTGAAAATGACTATACTTTAACTATATGATTGCTTAAGTATAAACTATAAAGTATAAAAATTTAAATTGTATTATTACATTATCGGTTTAAGTGTATAAACATATTATATTAAATTATAAAAAATGAAAGTTAAAAAAATTATTTTAACAATATTTATGAATTTACTAAACTTTAGAAGATTTAAGTTAATTAACTTATAAACAAAAACTTATAATTCGACCATCAACGTTTTCAGAAAAAAAGCTTTATCAAAAAAAACCAAAAATTTGAAAATTTCAGTGTATAAAAAATATTTCTTTTTTCCAAATCTTTTTATCAGAATATTAAAAAAAAAAAAATCACATTGTTTATAATCTAATATATTTTTTTAATTATATTTTTAGTTTAAATAAAGCAATTAAAAATAATAACAATATAATATAAGAAGTATATTTATTTTACTTAAATTTAAGTTTAATTTTAGTGTAACCTATCAAAATTGTTGATTTTGTGTCTTACATAAAACCTTTAATCGATAATAATTCAAGAAAATATTTTAAAATGTTGTAATTTAATTTTCACAGTAATTTTTTAAAATTAAATACAAAAATATACATATTTAAGAAAAAATTTGATAGTACTATGCAAACGTAGCTAAAAATTGCAAATTAAGAAATTTAACGAATCAAAACGAAGAAAATATTTAACTCACTATGAAATTAAATCCGGTGAAATATTAAACATAACAACATTAATAGTAATAATTTCTAATAATCAAATACCAATAATAATAAATTAACTAAAATAATTTATAAAAAACAATAGTTTATAATGACAATTAACCTCACGTTAAACCGTCATAGATACACATAAATATAATGCGAACAGGACTAAACAACGTGAGTGAATAACTCGTTCTTTCCGTGTTCATAAAATACAACATTGGACGACAAATGCACGACGTGATGTAATATTATAGCAATAAGTAGAGTATGGATATTATGTGCTAAGAAACAGCCAAACATACACACAAAAATCATCAATTTATTAAAAAATGACGCTTAGTAGATCATAATCACGAAAATGATTTAAAAAATGAATAATATCAATGTTTCGAGATTTTGACTGGTGACTGCGGAACATAACTGGAAATCCGTAAACGCCAGCTGTACGAGTATATCGGCTATAAATATTTACTTCTACATTAATCGAAGAATGAAAAATATAAAACCAAAATTCAAACAATATTTTCTTTTGTTCTTTTTTTGACGAACGGTCGATTTTTAAGTCCTTCAAAGAATATGATAAGAAAACGCTTAAAATTAAAAAAAAAAAAAAAAAAAACAACAACGCAAACACGGAATTAAAACCGTAATGTAAATCCGTCAAAAGGCGGAAACGCGTGAGAGTAAAAAAAAAAAATCTTCGCGCCGTCAACGGTTTTGAAATAAAACGCGTGTTACGCGCAACGGGCACAGTTGAAACGGTGGCGTAAAAATCATTCGCGCCCCAACGCCGACCAAGGAACGATGATGTCGTCGGGTTGAGGCAACAGTGCCCGCCGAATAATGCGTTCGTCACGTATGCCGACGACGTCGTAACAATAATCGTCAGTACGGTTCCCAGAACGATGTGTCAATAATAATAATTTACCCCGTGTTGCTGCATGTCCTGTGTTCCGTTTTCCCGTAGCGGCTCGTCGCCGTTGTAGTGGACGGTCACCGGTATGGGATCCGCCGCGGACACCGCGGTAGCCGTGGCCACGTCCGGTTCCGCCGCCGAAGACGTGGTGGTCACCACGACCGTGGTCGTCGGTGTGCCCAGATCGTTGATGGAGCCCGGGTTGCACGTGGGGCACGCCGGGTCGTAGTTGGAGTCGCCGACCTGCGGTATCCCGTGCACCAGGTGCCCGCGTATCTGAAAAGGCCGGGGCTCGCGGTCGTCCGCCGCCGCCGCCGGCTGCAGTTGGCCGTCGCCGCGTTCCACCGCGTCCGCGTAGATCATGGTCGATCTCCCGGAGAGCGACGAAACAGTTCGACCGCGGAACAGCGCGCAATCGCAGTCTCGCCGGCCGTATGACTGTCCGGGACCGCGCGCGCGTCGTTTAAATATCGCCGCCGAAGGGTCCCGGCCGCGGGAAACCTGTCGATGTGGCGGCGGGGTGGGGGGAACACGGCGCCGATCGTTCTGTTGTGCCTTCGTTCAGTTACGTATTGCTCGGGAAACCCTGTCGATGTGGCGGCGGGGTGGGAACACGGCGCCGATCGTTCTCGTGGTCGCACCGCCTGCTATTGGCTCTGCCAGGCGGCGGCGGTCGGTGGTGGCTGTTAACGGCGGCGGTGTGGCTGTGGCGGCGGCGGCGGCGAGCGGCG